TGAGTAATTGAACTGCAGTCAGAAGTATTGTTGACGTTCGTTGATATAGCGTTTGTTATAGAGCGATTTCTGAAGTTGAGTGTATCGGTAAAGTTGTATTCGGAAAGAATAAACCAGATTTATTAAGTAAGGACTTGTGTCGCTAAAGTTTCGTCGGAACGAAGTTACGGAAAGTTAATTAACGAACGGAGACGTAACAAGTTGGTGTCAGAGAGTGGGATAGAAAAAAAAAGAGAAGAAGATGGAAACGAGAGGCGGAAAATCAAACTACAGCTTAGCAGATTTGATGGCAGCAATACAAAAACAAGAAAAGAAACAAGAAGAACGATAAATTAAACAAGAAAAGAAACAAGAATAACGAGCAATTAAACAAGAAAAAAGATTACAGCAGTTGTTGGAGGAAAAAGAAAGAAACAAGAAGAACGAGAAAAACTGCTGTAATCTTTCTTCTTGCTTGTTTATTTTGCTGTTCGAGCTGCCATTGTTGTAGGTTTTCTTGCCAAGAGATTACAACAGTTGTTGGAGGAAAAAGAAAATAAACAAGAAGAACGAAAAAAGAAACAAGAAGAGAGATTACAGCAGTGGCAACTGAAACAAGAAAGGAAACAGGAAGAAAGTCTCCAACAGTTGCAGGAAAGTCAGCAGCAACTACAGGGAAATCAACAACAATGGCAAGAGGTACAAATGGAAAACATCAGTAAATTTAAAAGCGAATTAGATTCGTTAAAGAACGATTTGTTGTGTGTTACACAAGGAGGATACATTGACCATCGACTTAATCAGCCCCAGACAATGGCAAGCCCCTTACAGAACCCGCAGCTAAACCCTAATGCAGACATATTCAGTTCCGTTAGAAGTCACATCCCAGATATGAATAGGAGTGATCCAGTGCAAAGGAAGCCACAGGAATACGATGGGAAGGCACCGTGGGAAGCATATAGAGCACAATTCGAGCTACTGGCAGAGACAAATGGATGGACAGAGGAACAGAAAGCTGTATATCTGGCAACGAGCTTGAAGGGACAACCACTGGAACTACTTAGACAGTTGACAGCAGCCGACAGACACAACTATAGAGCACTGGTAAAGGCTCTGGAACTCAGGTACGGAACCTAAAACCAGTCAGAAGTCTACAGGGCCAGGTTCAGGACGAGAGTCCGTGCTAAAGGTGAGAGCCTGCAAGAGCTGGCACAGGACTTGGAGAGCATGGTGCACAAGGCCTACCCAACTGCACCACCCGATCTCCTCAAGTTGTTGCTGAGGGATCACTTCGTAGATGCCTTGGACAGTCCACAA